GTTTTAAATTCCGCAAAATAAAAGGGCAAAAGCGTGTTTTTCCGGTTTATTTATTAAATAGCTGGTCTGTCATAGGGAACCCGAAAGGGGCGTCGTAAAGGAACTAACACTTCCTTTACACGTAACTAACTCCCTTACCCAACTCTGGTTCTAATGACCAAAGTTGGTTTTTCGAAAACCAACGTCTTTTAAACTCCTTTTCCGATGTTTTCGGTATAAACATCGGTGGCGACTCCACAGAACCCTTCAAAAATTAGTCCTTGGGTTAGCCCGATTATCGGACAACCCAAGGACGACCTTTCGAAAACCTCGCCCCTAGGTTAGCCCAGTTATCGGACAACCTAAAGGCGTTGTAACCACCCATAAAAAACGCGAAAACAAGAGGGTCGAAACCATCGCGTCGCTCCGACCGCCTCTCTCTTTTTGACGGCGGCGATAGTAATCATTGCTCTCTTTCTTCTTTTTTTTATACCTCTAATTTTTGCCTAGAGCGTATCCTAGCAAGGAATATGGACCCTATCTTTTGCCCAGGATGCTCTTTGTGAGTTTTCATCATGACGGGTCGTGAGCAATGTCTTTAAGCGTAGTATTTCTTTACCGCATCTGAGTTGACTGGATGTCGAAGCTCTTCTCCGTCCATGTTGGTGAGGATCAGGGCTCCTCCTGAGAAGGCTCGCTTGACCACAAAGGGTCCTTCATAGTTTGCTGTCCATTTTCCAATTTTATCCTTCTGGGCTGGAAGCAATTTCTTTATTACCGTATCCCCTTCTTGGAAAGTGCGGGGATTGATTTTCTTGTCGTAGGCTTTCTTGATCTTCTTTTGATAAACTTGCCCCTGACATATGGTGTCCAGCCATTTTTCTTCGATTAAGTTTAGCTGATCGTACCGGTTTCAGACCCATTCTGCTTCTGTCAACTTTACTTCCATAACAACTCGCAGGGAGGGTATTTCAACTTCTATTGGTAGTACGACCTCCATACCATATACGAGGGAAAATGGAGTGGCACCCATGGAGGTTCGTACAGAAGTTCGGTATCCGTGCAAGGCGAAGGGTAACATTTCGTGCCAATCTTTGTATGTTATTACCATTTTCTGAATGATTTTCTTGATGTTCTTATTGGCTGCCTCTATTGCACCGTTCATCTTAGGTCGGTATGGAGGGGAATTGTGATGCTGAATTTTGAAATCTTGACATAATTCCTCCATCATCTTATTATTGAGGTTGGTCCCATTATCAGTAATGAGTCGATGGGGGATGCCATACCGACATAGTATATTTTTCTTGATGAAGGTGTGTCACCACCGTCGGAAAAGGCGGTCGGAGCGACGCGATGGTTTTTAATTGACTCGCGTTTTCTTTGAAAGAAACAGTCCAACGCCTTTAGGTCGTCCGATAACCGGACTAGACCTAAGGGCGAGGTTTTTGAATAGGTTCGAGGAGTCGCCACCAGTGTTTTAACCTTAAACACTGAAAAAGGTAAAAAAAGAAAAGGCATTGGTTTTATAAAAAACCAACTTTGGCCATTACAACCAGAGTCAGGTAAGGGAGTTAGTTACGTGCAGGGAAGGTGTTAGCACCCCCACAACGCCCCTTTCGGGTTCCCTATGATAGACTAATTTAGGAAATAAATACTTAAAGAAATTACATTTTTACCCCATTATTTGATCTACTTACAGAGTTTAAATATCTACATGACTCTACTATCTAATGCACACAAAGAAAGCGGTAAAGAAAGCAGTAAAAGAGACAAAGAATAGAGAAGAAACCTCCGAAGCGAGCTTTGTATTAACTCTTCTAAAACGTGAGGATGCTTTTTGGCAGTCCCCGCACTCTACAAGTATACTCCTCTCCGCAAAACACTGAAAAAGTCACTCAACCGAGGGTCAGATGCCTCAAAAAGAGACTTCCTTAACCGATTTCAACTTTAACGGAAATCAGAGAGCTCCCTCGAACCCCGGAATAATGCTCGGGGTTACCCTCAAGTGCCAAGAGGCTTCCCAGAGAGTGCAGGAGTGGAAAAGGTGTCCAAATTCGGAGGAATGAGGTCCCTTTTTATAGGGATGCGGGCCAGGAAAGGTGGACAACCGTCTGGACAAAGCGGACGGCCGTCCAAGGCAAAAAGTGGCCATGGACGGTCGTCTATGTAGTGTGCACGGCCGTCCATGGTGACTTTTTGCCATGGACGGTCGTCCAAGCTAAGTGGATGGCCGTCCATGACCTTAAAGTGCCATGGACGGCCGTCTGCTTGCCATGGACGGCCGTCTGCCTGCTCTGGATGGCCATCCGCCTGTTTTGGACGGCCATCTGCTGTCTCTGGCGGTTTTCCCGATTTTCAATGCCTCTAAAAACCTTTCCTATCCTAAATGGAACCTATAACAAGCTGCTAGGGACTTGATAGAGTCTTAACCATCTTCGGAATGAACGATCTTCGGCTTTATTAGGAGTCCGGGCAAGATTTGGGGTCTACAGCTGCCCCCCCTTTACCCGACCAATTGACCAGGGGTTAACCTACTTATGAGGTCAAATGGCGGGTGAAGGAGTTAACCCCCTTGCCCGGTTGTCTTCTGGATGATCTTCTTGCTGTGGAGGCTGACTTTTCGGACGATATGTTGTGAGGCTTCAAGATGCTCCTTGGGTGCAGTAGCTGACCCTTCGGTAGAGACTTTTGGGATGCTCCTTTGATGTGGTAGCTGACCCCTCGGTCAAGATGTTGTGAGGCTTCACGATGCTCTTTCGGTGCGGTAGCTGACCCTTCTACTGACACGTAGAGACTTTCGGGATGCTCCTTCGGTATGGTAGCTGACCCCTCTGCTGTGGTGGCGATTTGCTGCTTTTGGCCATGCGCCGGTCTTTGCCTGTGTGCAGGTCTTTGTTTTCGGGTCCTTCCGTTTCATGAAGGGATGGTGGCGACTTATTGTTTCTGATCATGCGCCGACTCCATGGGGAGTGATTGTTCTTGATTTTTGCGTAATCATCCGGTATGCCGGGGATTCCTCGCTTTTGGATTTTTGTTTAGTCGTCCAACTTCTTGATTACTGAGGATTCTTGATGAATGCCTCTTAGGTATGCAGATATTCCATTGAGGTTCTGGTATTGCCTCTAAGTAGGCAGATGCTTCATCGGAAGTGAAGACTTTTTTACTGTAATGTTTTGTCTCTGAATGGGCAAAGTTTTGGCTCTTGATGATGCCTCTGAGAATATGACTGTGAAGATTGCATCTGGGTGTAAATTCATCTTTTTGGCGACCCACCAGAAATTTGGTTGACTCCCTGGGGATCCATTTTTGATAGCCCTTTGGGGGAATGGGGGTCTTGGCTCCTTAATTGATATGGGTGCGAACTGGCATCGTCAAGCTCTTATTCTTGTTGGGGAAATGGAATTCCTTATTTTTTCTTCAATCGTCCGACTTGTTGGTTGCCGGGGATTTTAATGATTGCTTTTTGATGTTGGTAGTTGGAGTATTTGATTAATTTCTCATTTTTCTGCAATTTTATTCCTCTTTTGATTTGGAATGACGCATGTGCCCTTTTATCTTCTTAATTTTTCTAAGCATGCTGGCTTTTGCGATAAGATGGAAACATAAAGTCTTATTTTATTTATTTTTTGCGAAAAATTAAAGTACAATAGGAGCTTTCATAAAGATCTCAACTTTCCGGCTCTGAGCTGGATGCTGAGGATGGTGATGGCGAAGGGAGTTGGCGGAGTACGCGGTGCTGGAACTCTTCCTGGCTTCGGATCATGACGTGTATGTCTTGGCCCATTGTGTCCATTCTCTTCATGAGGTCGTCTACCCTCAGGGTAAGGCTTTCCCGGCCTTGCTCATAGCTCTGCTGTCTTAAGGACAACTAATCGATCTGTTGGCATAGGTGTTGATACTGCCTATCTGAGTGAACCCTGTCGTCGCTCATGTGCCGGTGCAGGCTGGCGAGATTATCTTCGTACTGCGTCTGTTGCTGTTGGGCTTCTGGAGCGACGGGCGTCTCTTGCGACTCTGAAGCGTCCATCTCCTGGATGTCGAACGTCATAGCAAGGATAGGATGTATGACCCAGGAGGTGCCCTGACGGGTGAGCATGCTCATGTGGGCGAGTATCGGACCATCTATGAGCTCTGGTCGCAGGGTAGGGGGGAATGTCTTCTCCATCAGTGCATCCCCAATACTAAGCTAGAGGAGTGATAAGAGGGCCTACCATGAGGGATCTTGCAGGACCTCGCGTCCCAAAGTCCTTCAGGGCCTTCAAGGAGAGGTAGCCTAGGTTGCATCGGATCCCTTGATGCATGCAGTAGATGACAAAGAGGTCCGCCTGGGTGACCTTGCCTTGACTTTCCTTCCGGCTGTGAAGGGTGCCTGCTAGCAATTTATGACAGATGCGGAGAGGGGGGGGGGGGGAAGGCAGTCCCTTTTGGATTGGCGGGAACATGCTGGGATCCGATGACCTCCTCCCATATCTGACTAGTGGTGAGGGTGGCTGACCTTTAACAGAATGCCCCCCTGTATTCCGGTGTCTGGATTTCTGCGGGCTGATGGAACCTCATGAGGACGTTGAAGTCATCTATGACATTAGTCCGGTAAGCCCCATTCATCCAATAGGTGACTGCTGGGACAGGTGGAAGCCCGGGGATCATTGATGGTAGGTCTATGAGTGTGACTGAAGCAAGCAATTCCAACGTGGTCGTACGATGGATGCGGGTAGGTGGATCTTTGAGCAGGAAGTCCCACCCTATGCCTTGGATGTATCTCCTTACATCTTGATCCCAACCAAACATGGCTAAGATGTTGAAGTCCAACCAGAGCATAGGGTGCCAAACATATTGGCTGATATTGGCAAACCTGGCCTGATGCTGCTCGGTCAGCTGAGCGGGAACCTGAGGAGGAGGGATGCTCCTTATGGGTCCCCGGGAGCGCTTCCGACGTGTAGACGACTCTCCACGATCCATTACTCAACCAAAAACACTTAAAATATGCAGAAGAAGGTGTAAGAGGAAGGGAGAATGCAAGAATGAGGTGCCATGGACCATTTGGGGCGCCTAAATTTATAGGCAAGAGAGACAGGGGCGGACGACCGTCTGCTCTAGGTGGACGGCCGTCTGCCCCCAACGAAAACCTCCAGACGGGCGTGTGCCCTCCAACGGCTCCTTATGGACGGCCATCTGCCCTAAACGGACGGCCATCTGCTTTCTTTTTGCTGTTTTTTATTTTTTTTCTTTTATTTATTATTTTTGAAGGAAATAGGATCTTATTCATTAACATCTATGCATGTAATGTTCATGATATGCAACTTATAAAGCTATTTTAATTAATTACTTTCAGAAAAATTAACTGATGTACTCTTGACGGAGAGATGCTTCTAACGGAGAGATTCTTCTGGTGTTATCTTCAGCTGTACCATTTCTGCCATTTTGGGTTTTTCCTTAACCGAAGTATGATCGTGTTGGAGAGCTATTTCGTCATACTGGTGTGCTTTTTCCTTTTTTGGAATTTCAATTCTCCTATTGATTACTGTCCTTTCATATTACCCGGTTAATCGCTAGAATATCATAGTGATAAAGGTCAAGAGAAAAGAAGGAAAAGGATGATTAAATCAAAGGTTTGTGTTTTTAGAGGGGTTTTTTGAAACCAATGGTATCGGTAAGCATGGCTGGCCAAGGTTAGTCAAACTATTTAGGTTTAGCTTAAACAAACGTTTATTCGTGGGGTTGCGTCTTTTCTTGGTGAGCTTTGCAGCGCCTACTAAGACTGATTGTCTTTCCTAGATCGCCCTTCGGTTATCAATCTAGGATATCCTTAATTTTTGTTGGGGTTTCTTTTTATTATGCTTTAGAAACCCTAATGGACTTTGTTTTGTAACCCTATCTCTTGCCTAGGCTACCCTTTATTATTGATCTGGTTTCCTAGCGGGTTGACCCTAACTTTTGCGTAGCCCCCTTTTGTGGGTGTCCTACCGGGTTTGATGCCCTTTTCTTTTTGGCCTTTGGCTTTTATGGGCTTTTTTATTTATTTTTGCAAATCATGGTTTCCTTGTGATGGGGTAAAACCTTATTCGTGTTTTCTGGTCAATCGATGATGTTTTGATTTGTTTCTTTACTGTTGGTGCGCTTTCAAGTTTTTTTTTAGACGCCTTTTTAGAAACGTTTGCTTAAGCATGGTTATTAATGAGGCGTAGACATGAGTAGTAAGAAGAGAAGCAGATAGTAAGAATTATATTCTCCTGTGATTAAAAGGGTAATATGTGCCCTGAAAATTCCTGGGGGTCGGGCTGCCCCCGGGGAGTAATCTCTAATAGTCATTGGGTTTACATTCCTTAAAAAATGGAAGAAGAACACTTAATGACTAAAGTTGCTCCTGACGCCTATATCCCTCCGCTTCGAAAGATCTGATTCAGCGGGCGGAGGGAAGACTTCCCTTTTATTCTTGTACTGGGGTTGTACCCTAGACCGCGTTTCAACGGATTGTCTTTGAAATCTGGTGGCTCTCTTATTCCTTGGGAATTCGTACCGAGTCCCTGGCTTGGGCGGTATCCGTATTTTGTCATCATATGTACCACTCTCATGTTGTTGGGAAGTCTTTCAACATTGGCAATTTCTAGTGCCTGGAAGGATGTTTCGATGGCCTCTTCTGTTGTATCCACATAAGATAGAGTAGGTGGCTTGCTGATCAAGATGTCATCTTCGGCTTGAACTGTGACCAGTTTGTTGCCTACCACAAATTTGATCCGTTAGTGGAGCGTTGATGGATTGCTTTGGCTTCGTGAATCCAAGGTCTGCCGAGGAGGCAACTGTAAGCAGGAGTGATATCCATCACATGGAAGTCCACGTTAAAAATAGTGGGACCTACCCGAATTGGTAGATTGATTTCTCCTACTACCTCACGTTTTGATCCGTCGAAGGCTCGCACGATGGTGTTGCTTGGACGTATATGGACTCCTTGAATCGTCAATTTGTCAAGCGTGCATCTAGGCATGACATTCAGGGATGACCCATTATCGACCAGGACTTTGGCAATGAGGTGTTCTCTACACTTGACGGATATGTGTAAAGGCTTGTTATGGTTCGACCCTCCAGGGGGAAGTTCTTCATCAGTGAAGGTGAGATGATTACTGGCTTTGATATTCTCAATGATTCCTTCAAACTTGTCTTGGGATATGGTGTGGGATACGTGGGCTTCGTTCAAGACCCTCAACAGTGCGTTTCGGTGTGGTTCTGAACTCATTATCAGAGACAACAAAGTTATTTTTGCAGGCGTGCGATTGAGTTGGTCTATGATGGAGTATTCTCTCTGTCTTATGAACTGGAGTAATTCGTCTTCTTCCCCCTTGGATTCTCTTTTGTCTTCTTCTTCGGCTTCTTTATTTTTTCCTTTATTGTTAGGGGCATCTTCCTGCGAATTTTTGGGAGCATATATTCGCCCACTTCTGGTTGTGCCCCCAATACCGGCTATATTGGAAACATCTTCATTTACTGCGTATTTCCATGGTACAGCTTTGTTTGATTCGTAGGGGAAAGGACGAGGCATGAATAATCGTAATGGTGTCCTAGTCCCCTCTTCTTTACCGATAGTGATAACCAGCGGTTGAGTTTTATTGGTCGTTGTGGGTGGCTCAACCGTTGAGGCAAGACTGATGATGAGTGGTTTTCGTTCCATTCTTTTCTGTTGTATGACAGCACATCAGTTAACCTTTCTTTTTTAGTTGTCTTATTAATTTTTAAAGCAAGGAGGGATATGTGAATGAATGCGAGATGAATGCAATAAACAGTTATAAAGATAAACAAAACATGATTCTATTTATCTGGAAAAAGTGTACATTCCCCTGGACCATGCTACGAACTATGTTTTGGCAGAAACGGTAAAGCTTAAAGAAACCCATAGGCGGGCTCTGGTTTCTACGTAGTTCCTCCTCGGCTTCCCGTACATGATGATTGAGTACTTCAGACTGGCGATGGACCGCCTGGCTCATATCTTCGCTGTATTTATGAGCATCTTCTATCTTTGCCTCTTGATGGATGACCAATGCTTGTAAGTCATCAAGTTTCTCAAGGGCTCGGTCTCTTTCTTGCAACACTTGGTCGTACTGAGCTAATCCGTCTCTTTCCTTGCATCGTAGCTCAACCAAGTCTCTGCTAAGTCTTTGGGCGACTTTCGTCTTTCGTTGTGCCTCAGACTGAGTTCTTTCGAGGTCTCGTTGTATTGTCTGGGTTGTCTGTGCTTGCTTTACCAATTCAGCCTCAAGGTGTGCTAATTTAGCCGTTATTTCCTGGATTTGATTATCTGAGCCTGCTCTAGCAATTTTAGATGCTCGGGCAACCTCTTTGTTGGAGTCAGCATACTGGTCCTTGAGGCGTTCTATCTCTTGGTCCTTCTTCTTGCACTGCCTTTGCAGACCATCGATGGTAAGAATAGATTCTTGTTCTTTTTCTTCAAGGCCCCTCAATTGGGCTCCCATAACTTCTATCCTTCGGGTTAAGACATCGACTCGGGCTCGTAATTCTGCATTTGCTAACGGTGAGGGGGATGGAGTGGATGGATGTGGCACCCCTCTATTTTTCCTCCATTCTTCAAAGTCACTGGAAACTGCTATTCGAACTCTACCAAGCTCTTCGTCCCCCTCATAGACTGGTCTCTCCCATGCTTTTCGGATCGCGAAAGCGTCCTTGAAGCTGTTAGAATTGCAGAAGAAACACAATCCCCCAATTTCTTCCTGCGTTGGAGTGGTCTGGGTCCTCATGAGCTGCCTCAGAGCTATCTTTGGAGAATAAGCTATGAAGCCCCTGAGGCCCAATAATGGTATACTGGGGTGATCTCTGCATCGGATGAGAACGGGGCCAGGTCGGAACCAAGGACATGCCCAAGATATGTGATCTATGTTCCAGTGTTCCAACTCAGTCTTCCACTCTATGGCACCACGATGATGGAGGGGGATCTTCGAGAAGCTTCTCAACGGGTCTGGGAATACTCCCATATAATTTGAGGCATAGAAGTGAGTGATACCCCAAACAAACAACAATGCAGAACAACAACGAAGTGTTTTTCCTTGCTTATGATGACAGAATTCTATTAACAGCAAGGTATCGGCAAGAAGAGCAGGCACGGGACTTTTTAAATGTGCCTCCCAAGCAAAGAAGGCGTCCATTGCGGCGTGATCCACGGCGTCATTATGGAAAGGGAATAGAAAGGTCCCAAACATAATTAATGCCAGGGTCTTGTTGAAAGTGGGCCAATCTCCTTTTTTAGCCAGAGAGGATAAGTGATCCTCTAAAAGTGATATCTTCCACCCCTGAATTTTCCCTTTTCCTTTTAGGGCAGACTGTGAAAGTGGTAATCGGATGAGGTGAGCAATCTTGTTTACTGAGACGTAGGCCCCCTGGCTAATGTATACCCCAGCTGACTTGGGCCATTTGATCATAAGTTCATACTCTTCCAAAGTCGGAACCAGATCAAACTGAGGGAACTCGAAGCAGTGTAATATGGAGCTCCAGAAGTGGATTAGGACTCTAATGAACACATGGTCAACAAATATTTTCAGGAGGTCCAAAATCCGTCCATAAGATCTCTCGAAGTCGGACCAAACTTCTGATGGCATAAGCGCACATAGCTGCTCCAACTTCTCAATACAGTATCGAGGAATATCCACTTTTCCCAACTGTTTACTACTTGATCCCTCCATTTTCTAGAAATGACAGAAAATGCATGGTATGAATATGATGTTTTTGTATGCATGAAAGTGTTTGTTTTTCCTAAATATTATCATGTTTTATTTTCTATATGGTACATGATTTATATATATATATATATATATATATATATATATTTTTTTTTGAAGAATAATAAAACTACCTACATGATGGATTTGATGCTTAATAAGAGAAAAAGCCCCGATTTCCTTTCAATATGGCATTTATTTTGATTTATTTAGCCTTTTATCTCTTCTGTCAGACTCGCGTGGCTACTTAGCTTACAAAGATCCTGAAACCAGGCTAGCTAAGAGACAAACTGTCCGAGATAAGAGTGTTTTATTGCGAAAGAATGTTTTTGAGATTTTTATTATATATATTTTTTTGTTGTTGTATGATTATGCTATGCAACAAACAAATGCGACAAACGAATGCACAAACAATTCACTCATCCGCGAACAGAGTGGCGTTTAATTATGAGGTAGGGGTTTCCTGCAGAAAAGTGCATAAGCAAAGGTAGGTTCTAACTGTTCTCACCAAGGCCAGGCCCCCAAGGTGCCCCCATTATAGGGACCTTTCGATTTCCCAGTCTTCGAACCATGCACGGATGTCCGTGTCGATGCTCTTAAACCAAGAAAAAGAAAGTTATCACCTTGAGTGGTGATTTCCGACAACGACCTGCTGGCACTATGGCACATACCATGGTCAGTCGTACCTGCCACCCACTCCCTATGTGTATTCTCTCTTGCCCCCGAGTATAGAGGGACTGTAGTGTGCAAAGGTTGTGTACAGTTTCATTTCAGACAATTGCAGAAAATAATCTTACAACAATTATTAAGGCCAAACAGTAAAGCATGTTATAAAAGTAAGAAAGGGTAAAAGCGTAATTTCTAGTTTTTATTTCCTGAACTAGTCCATCACTAAATGGGATCAACTCTCTAGCTTCCCCAGTGGAGTCGCCATCTGTCGCCACCGTCAAAAAAGGCGGTCGGAGCGACGCAATGGTTTTTAATTGACTCGCGTTTTCTTTGAAAGAAACGGTCCAACACCTTTAGGTCGTCCGATAACCGGACTAGACCTAAGGGCGAGGTTTTCGAATAGGTTCGAGGAGTCGCCACCAGTGTTTTAACCTTAAACACTGAAAAAGGTAAAAAAAGAAAAGGCATTGGTTTTATAAAAAACCAACTTTGGCCATTACAACCAGAGTCGGGTAAGGGAGTTAGTTACGTGCGGGGAAGTTGTTAGCACCCCCACAACGCCCCTTTCGGGTTCCCTATGATAGACTAATTTAGGAAATAAATACTTAAAGAAATTACATTTTTACCCCATTATTTGATCTACTTACAGAGTTTAAATATCTACATGGCTCTACTATCTAATGCACATAAAGAAAGCGGTAAAGAAAGCAGTAAAAGAGACAAAGAATAGAGAAGAAACCTCCAAAGCGAGCTTTGTATTAACTCTTCTAAAACGTGAGGATGCTTTTTGGCAGTCCCCGCACTCTACAAGTATACTCCTCTTCGCAAAACACTGAAAAAGTCACTCAACCGAGGGTCGGATGCCTCTAAAAGAGACTTCCTTAACCGATTTCAACTTTAACGGAAA